CAAATAATTATTATTTCAGCTATAATTAAATGGGTATTTGTTCAAAATACAAAAATTATTGGTTAAAATACAGTTTTCGATTCAAATTATATTCATGGAAAAAAATCTTTATCTGGAACCCCAACTTGGAAAGATTCCACGGAAAGTGCCCCCCTGGAGGTTCTATCAGAATTCCGCCGGAACTTCCAACGTAATTCCGTTGGAATTCCATCGGAGTTCCAAAGAATTTCCGTTGGGATTCCGACGGAATTCCGATTAATTTTTTTCAAAATTTTTAGAGTCCTAATTCCATCGGAACTCCGCCGGAATCCCATCGGAAATTCTTTGGAACTCCGATGGAATTCCGACGGAATCTGGAACCCCACTTGGAAAGATTCCCCGGAAAGTGCCCCCTGGAGGTTCTATCAGAATTCGGCCGGAACTTCCAACGTAATTCCGTCGGAATTCCATCGGAGTTTCAAACAATTTCCGATGGGATTCTGACGGAATACAGATTAATTTTTTTTCAAAATTTTTAGAGTCCTAATTCCGTCGGAATCCCATCGGAAATTCTTTGGAACTCCGATGGAATTCCGACGGAATCTGCGGAACCCCACTTGGAAAGATTCCCCGGAAAGTGCCCGCTGGAGGTTCTATCGGAATTCCGCCGGAACTTCCAAAGTAATTCCGTCGGAATTCCATCGGAGTTCCAAATAATTTCCGAAGGGATTCCGACGGAATTCTGACGGAATCTGGAACCCCACTTGGAAAGATTCCCCGGAAAGTGCCCCCTGGAGGTTCTATAAGAATTCCGCCGGAACTTCCAAAGTAATTCCGATTAATTTTTTTTCAAAATTTTTAGAGTTCTAATTCCGTCGGAACCCCATAGGAAATTCTTTGGAACTCCGATGGAATTCCGACGGAATTACGTTGGAAGTTCCGGCGGAATTCTTCTAGAACCTCCAGGGGGCACTTTCCGGGGAATCTTTCCAAGTGGGACAGCAATATCTATTTCTCTAGAATAGGGAAAACTTTAGTTGTTTTATTGAAATATATAGTTGTTTTAGTAAAACTTTTCACTGTTTGAGGTGAAGGCAAATTAATAATGAAACACAAAATGTTTACGCGCTTTGAAGAAAGGGATCTTAAAAGCAAAAAAAGGTTATGTTATGAAATGAAATTATATCAATTCTCAATAAAAAAAAATTATACATTCAAAATATTCAATAAAAATTGATTTTAATTTTATATATAAATATAAAACGAAACTTTTAACTTAAGAAAAACTATAGAACATAACCTATAATTCGTTTGCTTCTACGGTCCCTTTCTTCAGAATGCGTCTCACAATTATTATTTAACAAAAAAATTTTAACACCTAAGAATTTTTTTTTAAAATTGTATTTCAAATTTAGGTGAAATAAATTTTATATTTTCAATTATAAAATCTACTTTTTAGTTTGAGGTTATGTTAATAAAAAAAAAAAAATAAATTTCAAAAGAGAATTTATTAATTTTCATTTTTTAATATAAAAAATAGTTTTTGAAATAAAAAAGAAAAATTATTTTTTAAAAAAAAGTATAAGACAGGTAGAATAGATATATAAAATATATAGAGTTGAGAAAAGGGAGAAAGAAGTTATATTATTCTTTTTTATCAACGTAAAAAAAAAGAGGGGGTGGATGGGCGAGACTATATATATGCGATGAAAAATAAATGTTAAAGGTCACGAGTCTAATATGCTACAGATTTAACAGCTCCCGGCACTGGGTGAACCTAAATACGCCTCTTTTATATCATTAAAAAAACATGAATACAAATGCGAGGGTTGAAATTTTCACGTGGGAGAACAACAACAACAACAACAACAACAGGAAGATAAATAATAATTTACTTTAATGTATTATTTCATTTTTTTTTTTAAATTTACCTTTGACACACATTATTTCTTAATAAAATTTAACATATACACGAGAATATAAAACAATATATTAAAAAATAAAAAAATACCTTGATATTTTTTAACCTAATTTTTTTTACAAAAAGAAAAAATTAATTCTTAATTAACGTTAATATTGTGATAATTAATGTTTCCATATTTGTCCATTTATAATATTAAATTCAAATATATGTCAGAGTTTACTTGAAAGTCAAAGTTTACGTTTAATTATTTTATGTTTGATTCAGTTTCAAAATAATTATTTCAAATTTTCATTTTCCTCGATGTATGAAAAAAAACCAACTAATTAAAATTATATGAAAAGCTGATTTTCTGCTAGATTTAACAAATTAATTAATTAAATTTTATAAATTATAAATAATTAATTCAATTTATAAATAAAAAAATATAACGAATATTGTTTTTTAGAAATAAAAAAATGGTTTTCAAATTATAAAATGATTTTATAATTCTATAATTATTCTATAAATATAGAAAAAAAAATGTATTACACTCGCGGACACAAATAATTTTTTTTTTCAATGTAAGTAAGCTGAATGGTCATTAGAAAAAAAAATCAAAAGAAAAAAATGTGAAAAATCTTTAGAAAAAAAAAAAACTAGAACCGAAAAGCCTGGCGACATAAAAGAAACTAAAGTAGTGCAAGATTTCTATATATTACATTATAAGTATTGACTACTAAACGCATGGCCTTAATTTCCTTTGGAAGTAATTTAAATGAAATTACATATACCGGATTCACTCGTCCGGTGGTAAAGAAGTTTTCCTATAATTCAATATAGGGGGCAGCATTTACTTGAGAGATCGAAAATAGTTATACGATAGTTTTCTACTTTATCCAATGTTGTGTTTGTCATTTCCTATAACTAATCATTTTTTAATTCATTTAACAATCATCGATATTTTTAATAATAATAATAATTATTATTATTATTATTATTATAAAAAGTAATAAAAATAATAATAATAATTATAAATATAATAATTATAATAAATATAATTATTATTAATATTATAATAATAATTATTATTATTAATTTATAATTTAGTTATAAAATAATTTTGATATAAATAATAATTTTACGTTAATAATTAGGTGTGTAAATAACGAACAAATAATGTAGAAAAAAAATTAATGCAACAATAATATGTGTATATATAAATTAAGAAAAAATTGTACTGTTATAAACATTTTGAAACATAATAGGACAGTGGGTATGTTAATTACGTTTATTTTCTTGCATTTGAAACTGCAAATAACAGTATAAGTGTGAGAAAAATTCAGCAAATATAAATATACTGTTAGAAAAAATTAGAGAAATGCAAAATGAAATTAAAATTTACTGAAAAAAAATAACTCGAACTCTATAAATTTTAATTGATGATAATTCGTTAACTATATTTAAATTAGTGAAAATTTCTATACCTACTAATTTTTAGTCATTTTTCACGAAAATTTTAGTTAAAAAAAATTATTAAATCAAATAGTTATATTATATATTTAATACAGTAATATTAATTAAAAGTTAGTAAAAATTTCTAACGATTTTTAGTTCTTTTTCACTAAAATTAATTACTAAATTACTAAATTACTAAATTACTAAATTACTAAATTAAAATAAATTACTAAATCAAATAGTATTATTTTTAAATAATTAATTAAAAATTAATTAAAATTTCTACTAATTTCTATTTACTTTTCATTAAAATTTATTACTAAATTATTAAATTAATAAATTAAAATAAATTACTAAATTACTAAATTAAAATAAATTACTAAATCAAATAATAATATTTTTTAATAGTTTTATTTATTAAATATTAGTGAAATTTAGTGGAAAAATTTTAAATTTTTAGTAACTTTTCACTAAAATTAATGACTAAATTACTAAATGAAAATAAATTACTAAATAAAATAGTAATATTTTGCAAACATTAATATTCACTAAAAATCAGTGAAAATTTCTGCTAATTTAAATTAGTCAGCAAAAATTCCTTAATACCTCAAAGAAAAATTTAAAAATATTGCAATTTTTCGAAAATCTACAAAATTTTGATAAAAATTTAAATTTATCTTTATTTTTTTCAAGACACAGACTTTTAGTTGCAAATAAATTATAATTTAAATATTATTCCCCATTAATTACTATTGACGAGAAATAAATTTTTTTCAAAAAAAATTTTTTTTTTTTTTTTGGTTCTCACTGTGTGAAAACAAGGTGAACACATATATAACTCGAGAATGAAATGCGAATATATCGATTAACTGTCTCGTACAGCATATATATCTCTGGCAAGTCATCTTTTGTCTCTAAAGCATTGTCTTTCACTTTGATACATATATATATATATAGGAACATATGTTTTTCTATACTATATACATTGCATAATAATAAAACATACAGGCTTTTATAATAATAACTATAAATATATAATTTACGAATTTTCCACTTGGCACATACTATAGAGACTTCATTAAGTTTATTAATATATATATATATATATATATATATATATATATATATGTAAAATGTGTTCCCTAAGTGCGTTCAAAAATAAAGATCAAAAATAACTTTTGACATAGAATATTTTTCACATCATTAAATATATGTTATTATTATTATTATTATTATAAACTTGCGTGTGTTTTTATGTAAATAATTAAAAACAAACACGAAAGTTTATTAACTTGTCTTACATCGTTAAAAATCATCTATGTATTTATTTATAGAAAAAAAGTTTCATGTGTCACACGATTGATTAATTAATTTTAATATTCATGTGTTCTACGTTGTAAAAAAATTTTTTTTTTTTTATCATTTTATAATAATGATTTTCTTCTATTTTTAAATAGAATATTATAGAACAAAAAAAATTTTATATTTTATTTAATAATACGCAATTAATTTTATGACAACTATTTTTCTATATAAAGCAACCTTATAAAAATTTTCTAAATGTTGCTAAATCTCATTAAATTTACTAATTTTTATTTAATTTTTTTTAAATTTTTTATTTATTTAATAAATAAATTTTTTTAATATTTTGAATGTTACTTACCACTATCATCTCGGAGGGCTCCAGAACGAAACATTCATTGGGTCTTCTTGCACTGCCACCTGTCCGTTTTCCAAAACTGAAAATGAAAAAAAAAATATATTTATTAATGAAAATTAAATAAAAAAAAAAGAAATTTAATTTAATTTTTCAGTGTATATTATATTAATTAGTAAAGAGAATAAAAATAATAATTGGTGTTATATAATAATTATAATTAACTCTGTACAATTTTAAATTTAAGTTTAACACCTGAAAATTTAAGTTAGAAGTTCTGCTACCGCGGGTACAGGATGAAATTAGAAAGGGTGTCTCTCGCCAAGGATATAAACGCTATTTAAAGTTTGGATTCTCGCACTACTCAGGACTAAATCCTGTTAATGGAGCACCCAAGAGAGCCAAAAGCTTATAATTCGCCTTATTCGTCTGCAAAATTTCCTCAAATTGTGTTTTTCAATCTTTTTTTTTGCAGCATAAAATTTAAAAAAAATTTATTATTATTTTTTTCTACTATTTGTAAAAGAGAATTCATTGAATTCTGTGATTTTCAAACACCCTTTGTTATTATAACCTTCCCCTCTCCATATAATCTTAATCGTATTATTAAAGCCGACGCCTTGTCAGAGTCGATAATAATCAAGATGTGCTTGAAAATATCACGAAGCACCCTATATATAAGGCATTAACCCAAATGACATTTATTAGACCAAATGAGATTAGAAAATGCCACGTGTCCTGCTTGTAAATAGTATATGTCGAATTAAATTACATTGCAAACTTGTATGGCTAAAATCACAACGCTTTTTATGTATACCTTTAATGTCCTCATGCATTTAATAAAAAGTGCCAGGAATCGAAGAATCACAGCAGCAGCATAGGGTCAACAGCCTCCCCTTTCTCTCTCTTTAACTCACACGCCTTTTTTTTCCCTTCCCTTTCTTTCATACAACCATCTTGGACTTTCAATTGAGTATCTCCACACTTCATTCAAAAACTCGACATATACCAAGAATGGATAATCTCGTATCCAGAAAGCAAGAAGAGATTCCAGGAAAGATACATTTTCACAGCATTGTAAAGTTTTATTATTTTTATGGACGATTCTCCAAAAACAGGAAATTTCCCTGTCTAGATATATCAGCTAAATATTCTAGAAATTATTTGATTTGGACAAAAATGTCATATTAACAAGCCTAAATTATTATACCTCGAAAAAAAACACAAAAAAACGTTCTTTGGGGTCTTTACTACCACTTTTCTCAAAATAGTGATGTGCTAAACAATTTTGGAACACGGAATCGTGTTCAGTGGTCGAAAATACATAGAAAACCACTACCATGTCAAAAATAATTATAAAAATTTTATTTGGGGTTTCTATCCCCACTTTTCTCAAAATCCTGACGCGATAGACATTTTTGGAACCCGGAACCGAGATAAGCTATTAAAAATACATAGGAAACGATTCCCATGTCAAAAATAAAAAAAAAAAAATTTTTTCGGGACTCTTCCCCCACTTTTCTCAAAATCGTGATGTGCTAAACAATTTTGGAACACGGAATCGTGTTCAGTGGTCGAAAATACATAGAAAAGCACTACCATGTCAAAAATAGTAAAAAAAAAGAAATATTATTTGGGGTCGCTACCCCCACTTTTCTCAAAATCCTGACGTGATAGACATTTTTGGAACCCGGAACCGAGATAAGCTATTAAAAATACATAGGAAACGACTCCCATGTCAAAAATAAAAAAAAAAAATTATTTCGGGACTCTTCCCCCACTTTTCTCAAAATGGTGATGTGCTAAACAATTTTGGAACACGGAATCGGGTTCAGTGGTCAAAAATACATAGAAAACCACTACCATGTCAAAAATAATTATAAAAATTTTATTTGGGGTCGCTACCCCCACTTTTCTCAAAATCCTGACGTGATAGACATTTTTGGAACCCGGAACCGAGATAAGCTATTAAAAATACATAGGAAACGACTCCCATGTCAAAAATAAAAAAAAAAAATTTATTTCGGAACTCTTCCTCCACTTTTATCAAAATCGTGATGTGCTAAACAATTTTTGAACACGGAATCGTGTTCAGCGGGCAAAAATACATAGAAAACCACTCCCATATCAAAAATAATCAAAAAAATTGATTTTGTGTCTCTACCCCCACTTTTTCAAAATTTTTATTTTTTTTTGACTTGCGCTTTTGGGTTTTAAAGTGTACGATTACACGTTAGATTTTTAACGTAACATGCTTTAATAACCATCAAATATTTTATATCTTAAAACAAAAAAACCTAAAAAAATACCCAAGGTTATTTTTAAATTTTTAAAACAGTATAAAAAACATTTTTAAACTGTTTATTCCAATATCAGTCAATTTTGTCATCAGAAAAATAATTCAAAAAACAGTCTTTTAAGGAGTAAATGATTTCAATGTTTATTTGCTTATATTCCCACTCACAGTTTCTAATTTTGTATATAGAGAGTTTAAATTTATACAAAGTGTCTGGTTTCTATCTTTCCTTTGAAATTTGGTTTGCAAAACATTAACTTTTATACTTTAAACAAATGATTCATATCAGATTTTTAATACAATTTATTTTTGGTTTTTTTTTTTTTTTTTTTGCTACAGTTTTAATATATAATTAATTTAACATATATTTGATATTGAATATTCAAATTATATTGCTATTTTATTTTTTAGATTCCTAATCTCCCATTTCAATGATCAGATCTCATAACAGGAAGTAGAGTCACTGAACCCAATGAAACCTGATCTACATTCAGTTGAATTAGTTATAATGCAAAAAAGAAATGCACTTTTATTAGTTTTAAAACTCTTATCACAATAAACAGGACAGTTATACACACAGTTATATTTCTTTAGCGTTAGGAAATAATGAACTATAAAGAAAATTGTATAATGAAGTCGAAAATCAGAATTTATTATGAATTTTCTTCTTCATTAGAATGGAATTTTTTTTTTGCATTTCATATCTGAATGTAAATAGTAAAATTTTCGTAATCAAAACTTTGGTTAACAAAACATTTGTAGAGCATACATATTATCATTTTGTACATTTTTAGCCTTAAAACTTTTCTTTTTCGCTGCATCTTTTGTTTCTTTGAATATACATACCTGTTTCGTATATATATATACCTTCCATTATCTCCTCTCTTTCATTGTCTGACTTTACAAAACTTTATTATTTGTGTTTTCAAACTATTGCATTTATGAGACGTATGAAGCTCTAAAAATTGTTAGAATTTTTGTTATTATTCAACGGATTTATATTCGAATTTGAATAATTCAGAAATCATCCTTACAATATATTTGACACTAGAAATTCGTATTTTTTATTCCGTTAGAATAATACAAAAATCTTTTATTTCCATAGTATTATATCAGTACAGATTTTGCACATTAATCCGTAATTTTTAACAATACCATTGACTCTTGATTTTGAACCGGACGAAATTGTAATGGTCGAATCGTTTTCATTGGAAAGGGATGGCTTTTATTTATATGAAATCGAATGGGAGCGACAACGACCGACTATTTTGATGATGGCAAAATTGAGGAGTGGTTTTGGACCCATGTATATACACATTTAACTTTCCTATATATACGAGAGCCACGAACATCTGTCTGTTCAATCGAGTCAAATCGATCGTAAACAATAGGATTGTCAAACCAAGGGTACAAACGTATGGAATGCGTTATATTGACAATGTTCCTATATGTATGTACAGTTTATATTATACAGTCAAAACGTTATACCGTTTGTAAAAAAAACTTTTTGAATACATAAAACACAGATACAACAACACTTTACGTGTATTTGACGGCCATTCACCACAAAATACGCGTTTATCATGCCAATCGACGTTTCCAGTCGTCAGATTAATGTCGACACGCATTTTCAGGGTCGAGGAGTCGACCTTTCATATATGCCATTCGTTATGGTGCATTTAGTAACGCTTCTTGATTCGAATTTTAAAAATCAAAATCGTTTGACATTCTGATACATGGAGAAAAATAGTTTTTGAATAATTGGATATGTAAATAAATTGTATATAATATCGTTAATGGTGGTAAATGTTTTCCCCAACTTTTCACAAAGAAACAAATATAGATGATGAGAAATCTTAGAAGCACTATATACTCGTGTGCGCTATATAGGAGTAGAGAGTCAAGTTACCCATTATTGTTACAAACCACGCAAAAGCTTTCGCATCCACTTGGGGAAATTATATACGACCTATTTTGCCAGGTATAGTCCACTCTGTTTGATGAAACATTTCGTGATTCCATTAGTTGTATGCCACTTAGTTTCAACTTTGCCCACAAACGATCAAGTTGTCTGTATATACATTACAAAAAATAAGGGGGTTAAAAGTTTAAGTAAAGATGAAAAATTACGACTTAGGAGTTTTGCAAAAATTATCAGACATCTTATTTGAGAGAATTTTTATTCATATAATAATCAATATGATTATGACTTTATGACTGAATTTTGATTCAGATATAATGATAGAATCTTTTGTATAGAATTTTAGAATCATCCGCTAAATTCTTTCATTTTATCCGAATCAAAATTCTGTTATGCTCATTCTGTTGAATAAAAATTTTGCCAGGTTTAGATTTTTGTTTCATGCTACTTCTGTTAGGCGAAAATTCTCCTTAAAATCAAAAGTTTTGTCAAGCAGCAAATCCGCTAATGATTACATATCTGCTAAATTCTGTCACTATGTCCGAATTAAAATTCTGTTGTACTCATTCTAGTAAATAAAAAATCTGCCAGGTAAGATTTTGGTTTCATGATACTTATTGTTAGGCAAAAATTTCGTACAATCAAAATTCTGTCCATTAGAAAATCCTCTATTAATTACTTTTGCTAAATACTATCATTTTGTTTAAATCAAAATTCTATTGTATACTCATTCTGTTAAATGAAAATTCTGCCAAATAAAATTTTGTGTTCCATGCTACTTCTGTTGGACAATTTCTAATATTTCTGTAAGAAACTTCGTTACGAAAATTCTGTATAATCACAAATTTTCTATCCCCATCAGAAA